TCCACGAATGAGATCGGAAGCAACCAACTAAATAGGGTACACAATTAAACACAGGAGAAAAAGGAGTAAACGATAACAGGTAAATAACATGGCAAACGTAAGTCAATACACCTCAATTCTAACCATCAGTGTAAATGGACTCAATTCACGAATTAAGAGAAATAGACTGGCACAGTGGATTAGGAAACAAAATCCAACAATATGTTGTATGCAAGAAACACATTTAATCCATAAAGACATTGATAGGCTGAAAGTCAAAGGATGGAATCAAAAGAAAAGGAAAGCAAACTAAGTCTTACCTGCACAGTGTATGGCTCTGTGTGTCCCATTCACCAATGTGGAGTCCTGACCTCAGGTGCTCCTGGATGGCTAGGTGTATTCACCTATGTTGCCAAAACCACCCAGGAGTGGCTTACAGCCACAGTGGTCACCTACCTCCCCACCAACAGGAGGGTTTTGCACATGGAAAATCTTACTGGAAATCTCCAGCTGAAACCGAAAAATGGGGAGAAATTCTTCAAGACATCAAAAGTTGAAACCATCGAGTTTGATTTAAAAAAAAAAAAAGACTGGTCACCTATGATTCTGACTAGCAGGTCAGAAAATGTTCTCCCTGTCCTTGCTTTGCTCTCAGCATAAGTAAATTCTTTGTTTTCCAGGCAAGCGCAGTGGAATGTTAGTTTCCAGGGCTACTACAATGGAATGTTATCTTAGCTTCCAGTGTAACCATGGCACAATATCACAGCTGTTGATTCAGGTGGTCACAGTTGCTTTTCCAAAGTGGCCAGATCAGGTGCTGGTGAGGCTGCAGCCATGGAAGACTTCTCAGCTGGAAAGGGTGGCTCCACGGGCAGGAGGACTCAGGCTCTCTAGGGGCTGCCCTCATGCCATGGGCCGGTAACGCATTGGTCACAAACTTAACCACAGTGACATAATGCTTTAGCATACCTCTTATAATTTGATGGTTGCTCCTTTTCGTAGACTTATGTATTTCTATTTTTATGGTTACAGTGTTTGAACTAAAAGCGAGCATGAGGAAACTCAGCACTGTCATGGGAAGTTGACTCAGTGCATCTGCCTTAGTAATTCTTTTTACTACAGTAGGTTAGAAGCTAAAGTGGAGTTCCTTATGTTAGCATAAAACTATGCAATTAATATGCTCACACAGCCATGCCCTAAATCTACCTCCCTGACTACATTTATGTTAAACACCAAAGAAGATACTGCTGTAAGACCAGTGAAAAAGTAAAGCTTATTCATAATGTTAATACACGGTCTAATTTATAATGTGCTACCAGTGTGAAAACAAAAAGGGCCACGCTATATATACAGCATGGGTGAAAATAAAAACAAACAGTTGTTAAAATTTTATAAAAATAGAAATCAGTAATTATTAATGCACAAGTGAAAATATGTAATATATCCCATTAATGTCATAAAATGGGCATGAATGTTGAGAACATTATGTCACTGAATTTGAGTTATTAGACCTTAAAAAAGCTTTCCTAACACATGTTATGCTTTAAAAACTATAACTATGTCAACCAAATTCAAGACAATATTAGAGAGAAACAACTTCTGGTAGAAACAGAAATAATAGAGTACAGGCTATCATAGTCCTCCACAAATAAACAAATTACTACAAACTGAAAATAAGGAAGAGAAAGAAGCATCAAAATATAAGAAAACAATGCACAAAATGGCAACAGTGATCGCTTCTTTCTCAATAACCCCTTGGAATATAAATAATCAATACACAGAGTGACCTAATCCACTAAAATTAAAAAAAAGATGCAGAACTTTCCTTTTACAGAAATCTCCCACAGCCATGAGAGCACACATATTTGCTCATACTTTAGTTATCCTGGAAAATTAGGAGTGGGGCAGTGCATGAGGATTGGAACTCTTGAGAGAGATGACACTTCTATAGCTCGAGTTTGTTCTCTGCGAGAAATGCCTCAGAGTTTCACACACAAGCAAACTAGAAAGTATGAAAGCCTTATAGTAATGTTCTTAGTTTCCTTAACACGAAAATAAGAACAAAATTTTCAAAAATGAGAAAGATTGGGAATACCAGGAACAGAAGCACTTGTAATGCCCAGAGTGTTGTCCTCCTCAGCGGGGAATGTGTTCACCTTGAAACATAAAAGTATTTGCTGACCCTGCCACCAGGTGCACTGAGCACACCACAAAGGCCGGGTGTGGTGGCACACACCCATAATGCCAGCCCTGAGGAGGTTGAAAATAGGAGAATCAGTCCAAGCTGCATATGGAGACCCTGCACCAAATGCATTTTAAAAATTTGTTTTCCGGATTTTAAGAAAAAAAAAAAAACACACATTTTCAAACTAAACAGCATTTTGTATTCTTGTGTGAAACTACCCTGTGACTTATGCAAATGTCAAAGATGAATAGATTAGTGATGAGGATGCACACTGTACTGAGCTGGTGGACACTTTCATCAGCAGTTTCTAATAATGGGTGTTTCCATGGTCGTGTTCCCTTTGCAGAGTTGCACCAGTGCAAAGAAGTCACAGATCTTCACCCAACAGGCTCAACAAGTGAACATAAGTTTTGCACATGATGGAGACTTTCCTGAGATCTGTACCCACAGTCAGGAGCTTACACAATGAGAATCATCTTAAAATGCAGAGAAGCTCGGTAATGTGTGAAATATCTTAAATATGAGGAAACCAGGGAAATAAACAAAAATTTACCCTGAGTAGAAAAGATAAGAAAATAAAAAAAAAATCAATAGAATATGAAACGACAAGTGAGTCTAGAACAGTGCCAGAACAGCACAAATGAACCAGAGACTGTAAAAGCTTCTACTCCCTGGGCCTTGTGGACCTGCTCCTGAGGCTGACATGGAAACCAGTGAATCCTGAGCGCCCTCTGGTGTTTAGAGACCACCGCTGGGAGGTTTATGATTGGGCTCATGCTGAGGGCTCCTCATTGTGTATCTTGCACAGTAATACATGGCCGTGTCCTCAGTCTTCAGGCTGCTCAGTGTTAAGGAAAGTTGATTCTTGGAGGTGTCCCTGCCGATGTTCAGTCGTGATTTTAGGGCTGGGTTATAATTTGTATTTCCACCACTCCATATGATACCCATCCACTCCAGCCCCTTTCCTGGTGCCTGACGAATCCAGCCTGCAATATATTCAGTTACAGAAAATCCAGAGATTGTGCAAGTGAGGGACAGGGTCTCTGAGGGCTTCACTAGACCAGGTCCTGACTCCTGCAGCTGCACCTGGGACAGGACACCTGGAGAAAAGGAGCATCACCATGAGTCAATGGACCTGACACCCGATGCCCAGATCTGTCCAGTGAAACCCTGAGGCACTCACAGCAGGGACACGCCACCAGGCAGAGGAGCAGCAGAAGGAATTCCATGCTCTGATGAAGGCTTCTGTGTGAGGAGATTTGGACTGCTAAGCCAGGGCTGAGCTTTCAACATAAAATAGGAGGCTGCTTTGCATATGGGAGGTTTCTGAAGGATAAATAGACCTAGCTTGTGGAGAGGGCTTTACCATCTGACTTGAGAAAAGGGTTCTAAATCACACTGGGACTCTTTCCTGTGTCATGACCCTCTATCCAACTTCCAAAAATAGAGAAATCTGGATGGGTTAGAGGGTGCAGATTTTGGCACTGGGCAGGACAGAATGATGAAAAATGAAGCATAGAAGAAAGGGAGCAGAATGAGATATTCTCAGAGTTTTTGTGTTTTCTCTGTCAATTTCAGTGGATGATCTGGGATGGCGCAGGCCATGGAGACCTGGGCTCTTACTAGAGATGCAAAAGGACGTATAGGAGGAGACCTATGCTCCTGATGCAAAGTTTGTCCGCTGTTCTTCTGTTCCTTTTTCGCTCTGTGTTTCCATCCACGGAGGTGGTATTCCTCATTCAGCTGGGATCTTATGTAACCAAATTCTCTCCAACAGTTTAGATTTGAGAGGCTCCTAGTCCTTGTGTGTCTGTGTAAGTCTGTCCTAGGCATTATCAGTTCAGGGCATTATATAGGGAGAAGAATGGAGCAAATTTCATCATCAGACAAGACCATCTGTTCCTCTCCAGGTAAGCCCCAAACCTGAAAGCTTCCGATACACTGCTAACTTTAACATGACAGAAGTGCATTGTGTTAGTGAAAGATGCTCACCTCCCATTCCCATGTACTGGGCCTCAGTCCTGAGGAAGACAGGATAAAATATAGCAAAATGCTCACAGCTCACTGGCATGCAATGCTGGGACCTCCCAGCCTGGTCCACCCCACCTTCCTTACCTGAATGTTCTCTGTGTTACACTGAGGATGCTCTTGTTTGCACCTCTGCAGTACTGCTGAGGCTTCCACTGAATGGTCCTTTGCACAGCACTGGAGCAGCTCTGGGCCAGGGACCCTGCAGAGCTGGACAGTTGCCCTCTGTCCACTTGATGCTTTTTGATATGGATGGTAAGTAGACATACTATCTACACTCTTGGTTAATCAAGTAGCATTATATTTATGTTTGTGAGGAAGATGTCTGTTTAAAAAAATGCTTGAAACAAGAGTTACAATAAAGTTGAGATTTTACTTTAGTATGAATCACATGAAGATTAATAGTCTAACAAATGAGAGTTATTCATAATATCACTGAGAGAAATTCTCAATGGAGGGAGGAAAATGACCCAACTAACAGCGTCAGCATAGAGCATCTAGGTGGGAAAATAGAAACTACTGCAAGTACGTTTGTGCCATTACAGGTCTTGAATTTTTTATGATAAAATGTTGTGGTGAGTATCCTGGAGATTTCTGCAATCACTGCAGGATGGGGACATTGGGTTCCACATGAGAGGAAAAAGAATGGAAGAATGGGGCAGCCATGTGATTGATAAAGAGGAATAAAATTTCCCTGGCAGGCTCTTGAATGCACCATAGGTGAACAGGGCAAGCATGAATTGAGGATTCTTTCAAATGATTATGAGATGAGGGTTTGGTATGAGCAAGAAGAACAGGATGTGCTCTGAGGTGCCCCTGAGCGGGCTCAGCACAAGACATAGCAGAGCAGGGCAGAGCAGGCTGGCAGAGGAAGGTGGTGTGGTGCAGCCCTCAGAGGAGGAACCAGCACCCTGAAACCCATGACGTGCTGCCCATAACTGTAGAAATGATGGGTGCCTGATAATGCCTCATTAGAATGCCAGGAAAGTGAATTCTGGTGAATTCCAAATGAAACTGTTTATCACCGCCAATTTCTATCCATGGTTTTCTGTCAATTTCTAAGTGAAAAGGTCACATACACTTGCATAATTTTGTATTTATGCACATTTGATGTCTGTTGTTACATCCCCTTCATATATGAGTATCATTCTTCTGTATATGCCAGTTGTGACTTCATAGATGCAGTATATACACTTTTGGTATCCAAATCTTCATCAAAATCTGCTAAGTGAACATTAGGTGATAAACTCTTTTTTTCTATTTTGCCATACATGATTTTATTTTCATATTTTTTTTCTTTTCTTTATGCATGGAGTCCAGCAGGGGTGGAAGAAACTGCTTGTTCAATCCTGGAGCTGCTCCTGGGTCATCATCGTGTGCCAGGCAGCAGAGCTTGGCTCAGAATGTAGGTGGGTGGGCTTGTGTGTGAAGCAGTCATCCTGTGGGCCCTGATGATGACTTAAGGTATATCTGGGATGAGTGGAGTGTTTCATTCAGTGGACTCTGAGTCAGGCAGACTGTCCTCTCACATAAATGTGGAGTTCATTAGTCAGCCAAGGCCTAAAAGCAACAATTCCTGAGTGTTCCTGAGCAGCAGAGATTCTCCTGCAGGAAGCTTCCAGGTCCCCTGCACCTGCAGGTCCCTGGGTCTCCACCTATAGCCTCAACAGCAGAGGTGGGACTTTACAAGAACCGTGGGCAATAGAACAAAGTTTCCCCAATTTTCTGGGAAATATCTGTTTCTTCATAATCATACATTCTGTTTGAGCTTCTCTGAGGAACCCTGAGTGATAAATACCCTGTTTGATCAGTATCTGTGACAAAATAAAAGAAATAATTTATTTATTTAAAAATGGTAAGTAGCAATGAATATGTCATATAATGCACCATTGAAATAGTTTATTTCAACATAAATTTGTTTTGGTACACTGAGTATTTTCATTTTGACATTTCAATATTTATACACAAACTTTTACTGTACAAATGTGCATAACCTCGTTTGTACTCCAGGTAAATTCTGTCAAATCAGCATGCTGAGCTGGCCACTGAGACCAGACTTCATAGCACATGCCTGTAATCTCATAACTAGGGAGGCTGAAAATAGGCAGATCATTATATCTGAGCTGCATACTGAGAACTTGTCCCCAAAACATAAAATTAATCAATGATATTAGCTTAAATAAAAATGGGAAAATGAGATCCAGTAGAGGGAGAGTAGAGGCAAAGGGAACAAGAAAGTGAGTCTATAAAGAATCAAGTCTATTGTACACATGGACCCACTCACTCCCTTGGATGAATGTCAATTGCCTGTAATGCTAACTTACACTAATAAATAGAAGATAAATTTCTAAAATTACATAAAATTTGAAAAACCTGATTGTTAGTTTAGTGTAAGATCCAATACTATTATGGGCTACTGGACTCTTTTGGAATATTTTGCTGAGTTTACAAACCTATAATATTCAAATAACGCAACTTAAAAAAAAAGTCATACAGATGAATGTCCATTTTGTATCTGTATATTCAAAGTGGTTGGGATAGATATATAGTTACATTCTCTTAATGAATAGAATGATTTGTTCTAATGGTGTTTGTAAATAGGATGTCAGGTCCGCATCTTGTACAGCAATTAACCACTAGGAAGAATGTATGCAGTGTGTTAATTATTGAAATAGTCCTACCTATTTGATTTGAGACTGTCTCATTGCTATTTGTTTATCAATAAAAGTATGGCAAAAAAAGAAAGGCAAATTAAAGATTGTTGAAGTCAATATTGCAGAAGTTATTTGTAAATCTGGAGACTGGAGGAAAAAGAATCACACTCTATCAGCAGAGCAGCCCCTGGAATCTGCACCTGATTGTCAGCCACACATGAGCTCAGTGTGTCCTGTGTGACACCTATTGACCTTGCACCTTAGGGAGTTTTGTGTTTGTGTTCACGATGATGTCCCCTAACTGTTTCTCACCCATACTAATACTTAGCTGTGTCCTCATATGTCAGGTTGATCACTGCTAGTGAAACTTGGCTGTAGTGTTATCCCTGCTGATGCATACCTGAGATTGGGGGGTTGAATTATAATCTGTGCCTCAATCAACCAGTATAATACCCATCCACTCTGGCCTGTTTGCTGGAGCCTGATGGATCCACCACACACTATAAATGGCTAAAGACAATGCAGAAGCTACACGGCAAGGGAAAACATCCACCTAGAGACAGAAAACAAAATGTTCAGCACGCTTGGTCATTGGAGAAATGCAAGTGAAATAGAGGTCTATGATGACAGTAAGAAAGACCATTGCCCAATCATCAAAAAATTTCTGAAGCTATAGAGATTGCAGATTAAAAAAGAACTCTTCATTGTTGTTTGGGATGTAAAACAGTGCACTTCCTATACAAGATGGTGGCCTTTGGTCAATTTTGTCCTGAGCCAAAGAAGCTCTAGTTTTGGGGGCCAGCCCATTTGTTCAGTTGTTTAGTGGCTGCTTAAACAGAGCAGTCAGGCTCAGGTTGCTGTGTTTCAATCTCCAGATCCTCAAGCCTTACTAAACCTGCCCTGAAGGCATTCTGAGCCAGCCAAAAAAAAATCCTCCTGAATTTTGGCAGCTGGGGAGATAGCTCAGTAGAATAAGTACTTGCCTGGCAAGCACAAGGGCCTGAGTTCAATCCCTGGTTCCCCCCCACCACCAAAAAAAAAGAAGTTCTAGTCTAGTATCCAATTCACATTAGAAATAGGAGAAATTGGAGCAGAATAAACTCGGTTTGACCTCTTCCCAGAATGTTTTAGTGATAGAGGGACACCTGAGCTGGGTCACCCCTATCTGACCCTGCCTAAATTGCCCCATCCTTCATTCCTTCTCCTACCTTGTTAAACTCACAAAGATAAATAAATAAGGGAAGAAGCAGGACTGATTAAAGGAGGTAGAATGGAAGCATATGCCCCAGGCTGTCACTTTGTTCTAGAAGCACCACATTGGTAACCAAGGCACTCCATTATGGTCACCATGCCGACCACTGAAACTATATAAGCGAAAGGGGAACAAAGAACTGGGCCAAGTGAGCACACTCCCAATT